CATAAAATCCGGCCGCGCGGGCAGAAATCCAGATCCCATCTTTTTCTGGATACAAGTTGAAATTTGGCAAAAAGAATAACCAACAGATCACTGGCCAGTTCTCAGGCCAGAATCAACACAATTAATTTACAGTCGTTCCAAGAAAGGTTGACAACTTTTTTTTGGAGAAAGTTGTCTCCGCAGCGGCTAAGACCAAAGACAAAACTTGATTACAGGTTTATTGTTTCCTGTATTCTTTCAATTAGCGGAGAGACAAAATCAAGTGAGGGACAAAACCCGGGTTTTGCACATTGGCGAGATTTCCAAAAAAATCAATCTTTGTTGGAACAGCTGTAACCTCATCTCCTCAATAACACCACTTACATATCAAACATGACTAACTCTGAAAGCCTTCAGTTGGATTCCACCAACCCTTCTTCCAATGGGGATGTTGAAGTTCTATCCGGTTCTCATTTGACACCAGGCACCCTGCAAATTGATACTTCCACTCTCAGTCAAGTGCTAACTGGAGCAATCCAACTTGCTCAATCAGGCAATTCTGCACAAAAACCAAGTCTTCTCAGACGATGCGCTGAAAAAAAGCTCCAGTGAAACCATGTGCTAAACAAACTCCAACAAAAGCTTCTCCTACTCCTAAGTCAAAACCGGCAGCTAAAGCCAAACCTTTTAACTCAAAGTCAAAGAAGTCCATGAAGACCAACAGGACTGAACACAAAAATGATAATTTGTCATCTTCTGACAAAAATTCTGACAAAAATCACAAGAATACTATTCATTGAGATAATGATGATAAAGAGGAGGGAAAATATTTGATGTACTGACTTATCAATTGGCTCACAGACAAAGACTACTTCACTAGATTCAAAACTAAAAACAGAAAAGAGAGGTTCAGCTGAAGAGATTGAGCAGTACTTGATCAAGAATGGCATCTTATGGCAAGATGCTGCTTCAATCCAAAAGAAGGTATTTTATACTTTATATCAGATTTTTCATGACTTAAGGGCCCGTTTGGCTGGTTTTCCAAAAATCTGTTACACAAAAACGATTTTTCAATCTGCCCCTTTTTCGAGGGGCGGATTGAAAAACTCGGAATTCGGCTTTTTTGTTGACCGAACAGTCGACCAAATAGGTCAACGAAAGATTGAAATGGAGGGGCAAACAGGGCAAAAACACTTTTTGGTCTCAAAAACAGCCTCAGGGCTGTCTTTCAAAATTGAAGATTTTTTGATCAAAAACCGTTTTTGGTTTTGATCAAAGACCGTTGCCGAACACCTGTGTTTTTCATGAAATTCAAAAACCGTTTTGACCCAAAAACGGTTTTTGGCTTTGGTGGTGTTTTTGACCAAAAACCGTTTTTGGGTTCCAGCCAAACGGGCCCTAAAGTCTTTCTCAATACCTTTAAATTTGATTTCACTTGCAGATTGGTCGTTTAGATACCGCTTGGTGTGCTGACAATTAATGTACGTGACCAAACTGGATCTGGAAGCTGGAAAACTACTTCTGAACAGAGGGCAATTGAGGGCTGGGCAGATGATGATCAAAAATGGCTTAGTATGGAGAAGGTGGCACTTGGTAAGCATAAATTTTCATGTGGTATTGAGTTTTGTTTGCTGAGTCTAATCTCTCTCAGAATATAGCACCCATCTTGAAGAAGTGCAAGTATTTCTTTGAGCTGAAGCCTGTTTTTGAAACACAACATGGTAATACAAGGCTTTCAGCGGCTTGCGTTCTACTTGATGAGGGCAAAGAAAACCTCACTCAAAAACAGCATAATTCACAGGAGCATTCAGTCAACTCTGTAGCAGGGTCTTTTACCCAAGCCCAAAGCTACAAGTAAGAACAAGTCCAAAACGGGCCCTTACAGAACAAGGACCAAGACGTTTCAGACTAGTCTCCAGGACCAAGTTATTATACATGAATAGAATGTATAAGGGTCCAGAAGAAGGCTACAAGCAAGGCACAAACCCTGTTCGAAGCATGACTCATACCCAGTCTTGACCTGCAATACTCACTCAACGGAAATGATATAAATCAAGGAACTATTCCTTATTGTAATAGTTTTTCAGCCAGACATTCCGTTATCTTTTGTTATCATCTTTCAATTCACCTTTTATCTGTTATCATTTACCTTCTGGTTCATAGTCGTCTTTTCTAGTTTTATACATTTACAAAACATTCAGAAATCAATTGCAGTATCCTCGTCTACGCGCCATACCTGATCAATTGTCTATTTCCTGTGTTGCATAAAACCCCAATCTCTACGAGATCTTTCATCTATCCTCTTTTCGTGCCCTCAAAGCTCGCCCCTAGGTTCCTAACCCTGAGTACTTAACGTGGGTAGTTTTGTCCCTGTTACAACTCTAATCTGGCTCATCAATAAAATAATAACAATTATCACTTGGAGCACAACCCTTTCAAACACTCTCTCAACTCTAAATTAGCTTATGAAGATCATTGTTGACCTCATGAAGATGTTCTTGGTGACTCACATGATGATAATCCGCACATGTTCAACCACAATGACAACTTTGATGATATCATCAACTCAAATCCTATCACACCATCTTGACCATCTCAAAGCCAATATCAACGTCTGATTTCCTCCACATCAATGAAATGTACATCTTCAAAAGCTTCTTTAGCATCATCAAGTCAAGGTCCCCCAAGCAAATGTGGCCAAAATCTAAGGTCAGGCTTGGCTGATTCCATTCAGGAACTGATTCAAAATAACCCATCCGATGCAAATTTGAATACTATTCAAGTGCCTGTCTTGCAACAGGCCCGTCAAGCATCAAATCACTTGTCACGTTTAGCTGATAATATGGCTATCACTATGTTACCCAAAAAACCTACATTAAACAAAGAGGGCTCTAAGAGGAAGGCAAAAATTGGACTTGAAATGGCTGATGTTCAATTATTGGACGAAAAAAGAAAATTGAAGAACATGCTTTCAACTTGGCCTCAAAGAAAGAAAAGCATTTGCTTGAAATGCAAAACTTCAAAGCCAAGCTCAAACATCAACAAATTACTAGGAATGCTCAACTCATCAGAATGTTGATGAAGGATGACAATCTCACTCTTCACGACACTATGGTGGAGGCTCAAGAAGCGCAAGAAATGCAGCAATCAAACTCCAGTAAATGATACATATCAGTGTGAGCTTGTGGTGTTTTTCTCTCCAAAAACACTTAAAACAAATCTCACCATGAGTTTTTTTGGTTGATAGGTGAATTTGGCGACCAATATATATTCAAACAGATTCAAAACCCCTATGACAATGGTTTCCAGAAAGTTGAAAATTGTAAATTTATCAAAAAGAAGCTGAAAAAAATTAAGAAAATTGTGTATATAAATTCTTGATGTCTTTCATAATATTGATCAAAATAAAATTAGTTATAAGTAGTGAATGTCTTGTATCATATTGAAAATGAAACTAGTCATACATTGTGAATTTCTTTCATCATATTGAAAAAATAATCAGGTGAAGTGTATTGAAAATCAAAGTAGGTGAAGTTGAATGCTTGTATCTTAGCAAAAAAATGGAAAAAAATAACAAAATTGTATATGGGTACTTATGTCTTTCTTCGTCTTGAAAAATGAATGAGGAAAAAATTTAAAAATTGTACATAGGCACTTGATGTGATGTCTTGCTTTAACTTGGAAAATAAATCAGACAAAGGTTGTTATTAAAAAGTAGCTCACAAAAGCAACCAATGACCATTGAGAAGTCAAAAATGCTCACATCAGACTCACAGTTGCTCATCAAAAACTTAACCCATCATGAATCAATTTTCATTACCATGATACATAATCACATAATAATCATATACAACAAAGTTTATTTTGACTAGCATCAATCCAAGTCTCTTGAGGCTAATCACATAATAATCACAAATCATATAGAACTGAGTTTATTTTGACTAGCATCGATCTAAGTCTCTCAAGGCTATGAATTCTGCACCAAGATAATTTCTTCTTGACTCATCTCTACCTGATCTCATTAGTCATTTCTTGTCTCCTAAATCAGGTGGGTTCTGTAATGGTTCTCAACGTTGAGATTCATTTCAAAGTCCGTCAGATATAGTACCCAAAACTGCTGACCACTCCTCCTTAATTAATATGAGGAAGTTATGCAAGATTAAGCATGCTCGAATCCACTGGTTTGCCTGCACGGCTCACACTGCATCACTGATAACCAATCAAAGTTCCTTCAGTGATTGAAAATGTCCTTTAACCATTCCGTTGGAATGCTCAATAGTCACTTGCACAATACTGATTTCTTTATTGAATGTGTCTTCATCAACTCACAGACTGTGACCTTCACATTGTTTGAGACATGGTAAGATAATTTCTGATACTGTGTATCCCAAATTAGCCAAAAGGTTTTCTCCAGGGGAAAAGAAGCATTCTGGAGATTCAAAGATCTTTATTGAGAACAAATAAGGCCATTAATGAGTTAGATAAAAACAAAGATAAGGTGAAAATGAGACCGACCAGTGTATTTCCTCACTTGTGAAGACCGGAAAACATGTCGGTCGTGTACACCGCCACACCACCTCAATTTGTAATAAATCATCCAACAATGTATATTGCAGACCAGCATGGTATTGACAACGCTGCCACAATTACGCTACCGGTATCGGTATCGTACCGGTATCGTAGTTTTTCGGGCGGTATCGTATCGCCAGTATCAGTATCTGAGGCGCAATACGGTACTGGCCGAGCCTCCGAGTAGTATTGGTTTGGTGATACTGTACTCGGTATCGTATCGGATTCCGGGTACGATACCGGGCCGGAGCCCGGGAAAGTATCGGGTATTGTCCCAGTATTGTAGTATTGTGTGAACTCCGATATCGGAGCTAAATGCCCTTCGTCTTGGCAGAATGATGTCCTGAGAACTAATCACACCATCTCTCTATTGTGTTCTAGCGTCGATTTTAGTCACCTCTCACCCCTCTGACGCAACATACCAATCCGACTGGTGTCACTTCTTGTTCAAAATGCGACCAGAAAGCACGTGGACCAACCAATTCCTCCCCTATTTTCCTGAATGGGCCAACCTGTGGTCGGACAGCTTCGATAACTTTAGTCTGGTGAGTTGATTCCAACTTTTGATCTTGTAAAGTCTCTTTTCGTTCAGCATCCTCATAATCTGTTTTTTGTTCCTCTGAACTTTTACTATTAGCCTTCCATTATGTCTTCCTGTTCTGATCGCGATGAAGAAACTCTTCCACCCACTGCCTCACCTCCCCAATCCCTGTCTTGTCAACTACCAGCACCAATACAACCAACTCCCCGTTGTAGTGCCCGAACTACCCCACTTCGCCGTCAATCTTCTATGATTATCCCTCCATCTGATTCTCGGAAGGCCGTACCAAGCGAATCTGAGGCTGAGTCCGAAGTCCAGGCTCCCAAGAAGTCTTCCAAGTGTCCTCGAGTAGACTCTGAGGATGAATCAGCCACGGCATCTGTCAACTGAACGAGGGTAGCCGTTCAAAGAAATCAAAGACGAAGGCAGCTAGCTCACCAGCCAAAGCCACCACTTCGAAAGCCACTACTTCGAAAGTTACGACTTCAAAAGCTACCACTTCGAAATCTTCCACGTCAAAAGCTACCACTTTGAAAGCTTCCACTTCGAAAGCTACCACCTCGAGTCAAGTCAAGAAGACTATGGTAAGTCTTGAAGTTTTTCATGAATAAAACCTGAAGATACCATTACTGACTATCATGGTATGTATCATTGTGCACTCTCAGAGCGCGCCTTGTTCTTCAAAGTCAAAGCGAAAAAAATTGGAGGTCGACTTAACTCAAGACTCTGAAGACGAACATTCCAAAGTCGAACGACCGGTTAAGAAGCGTAAGAAAGAAGTCACACTGCCAGCATTAAAGAGGTTCCCAGATGGGAATATGGGTCCTAGTGATCACATTCCCATCCTGCTACTGTTACACAGCTCCATGAATATTTCCTGAGTAGCCATTGTGATATATGTAGTCAATATTTTGAGATGTGTGGCTCAATCTGAACAAAGTTACAGCATGTATTACACATGAACTTCTTATCTAGATGAGCAGATAACTGAGCGGACCTGTATGTAGCTGATAGCTGAGCATTTACTCAGATGTTTGCACATATGTAGTGTATGCTTTATGGCTCAGATGTGCAGTGCAAGATGATTTGATGCACCATTCTTCTCTCAATGATATTCCCAGCCTAGGTCATGTTCCGACCAGGGAACATATTTAATGCTGGCAGTGTCAAAGAAAAAAAAGTTGTAGAAAAAGAGGGGGATGATGAAGAAGAGGAGGATCCTTATGACTACATCAAAGACTATTTTGAACCAATTCCTAAGCGTGGTGGAAAAGATGTGAGTGCTTTTATTCATATTCACTCATCAATTTTCCTTCTTCAAATTTGATTCATTGATAAAACTTGATATCTGAACCAGAAACCCGAGGGACCTTACAACTCCTGGCCATGCAAGTATTGTGGCTTCCATGCTCGGTCTTCCGGTGGTTCGCATTCAAATCTATACGCCCATTGAGACGGTTCCAACCAAGACGGCAAGTCTGGAAAGCCTGGCTGCCAAGAAAGGGATCGGGCTATTGCAGAAGGATGTATGCTTCCTCCCACGATTTTCGAGAGACGCAGAGAGGAAGAGAAGGCAGTCCAGCCCTCGATGGAATCCTTTGTACAGAAGGTCAACAAGTTTTCCAACCCTGTCTTAAATCAAATGGTTGGTTTGTGGGCTATCCAAACCTCTCAACCCTGGTTACGAATTGAAGACAAGACCCTGCGAGCCTGCTTCCGATACGCGAACCCTCATGCTCATCTTTTAGGCCGTACCTGGCTTGCCAAGTTTGCTCACCGGGTGTATCTTGGTCAGCGAAAGACGGTTATATCTGATCTACAGGTAAGTCATCACTTGATCTTTCTGGCCGTCTGTATAAGTTTTCATTAATTTATTCCAACACTCTTTGTTTCTTTTATTTGCTCACTTTTTTCTTTAATGTAGGCTCTTGACAGTAAATTTGGCTTAATCCTCGACGCCTGGACTTCCCCGCGTAATCGATATGGATTCATATCAGCCTCTGTTACGTATATCAACAGCGAGTGGAAATTCGTCACCCGGCATCTTTGTATGAAAATGATTGCTTGGCACCACAAAGGCGAGTGATTAGCCGAACCTTTGATCAACATCCTTGTAAAACATAAATTATATTCAAAGATAAGTATTTTCATCTGTTGGTTTCAAACATTTTTTTCGATTCACATGAACTAACATATTATTGTTAATAATACATGGTTTCTCAGACACATGATTCAGGTAGTAATAACAATACATGTGCTCGAGCCATGCAAGCTCGACTTGGAAAAATTGCCGAAGATGAAGATGAAGAGTTTAAATTTGATGAGCGTACTGATCGAGTGCGATGTGCCGGTCATAAAGTGGCACTGATTGTTAATGGTGGACTGCAAGCTTTGGGTATTGAATCTCCACCACCACCTCTGGTCAAGTCCACCATTCTTGGTGAATTCCCCCTCGATGATCACCGGATGACCACGATAACTGAAGAAGATGAAGATCCTCAAACCAACCAGGCTCAAGAATCTCAACCTGACAAAGATAACGGTACAGTTTTAGATGACGACGAAACTGATCTTAGCAACATACCTGGAAATCAAGTCGACGATAAATGGTACCAAATCATTGACGGACCGTTTGACCCCTTACCCGATCTTGAACGTCCAGCAACTAATCGAAATGAAGCTAATGCTGTTTATGAACTGACTCTCAAAGTAAGTTATTCCTGACTTCTCATGAATACATATAACACTTGCTGATCAATCTTTTTCATAGCTCGATGATATTGCTCGGAAGATAGGAGGATCATCCCGGATGTTGCAAGTATTTGATGCTACTTGCAAAAGTATGGACGTGAGTTTTCCTCGACCAATCCCAGGCTATGGAATTCGATGGAACATCAAACTCCAATGCTGGGATAGGTTGTACAATGCTCGAGAGGTACGTTTCTGTCGTCTTTTCCACCATTTGTCCTACTGTCTCTTTTGTAATTCAAAGTCACTAATACATACATACAAAATTATCAACCTAGGTAATCAATACTATGCTTAAAGATGATCAGAAGGAGCTTGCTAAAGGAAAAAATCGCAAGCAATCAAACCCAGCTCTTGCACCTAGCAATCCTGATGAAAATCGACCTCACGGAATATTTAACAAAGCAGATATCACGCCTGACCAGTGGAAGCAGGTCAGTAAGTTGATCAAGGTACTACGAGTAAGTTGACACTTATGATCTTCTCACACAAGGCTATTTGACATCTAAAATCGTTACCCAAACAGGAATTCGAATCACTCACCAAGCTGTTCGAAGCGAATGCACCTACTGGGTCACTCGTCATCCGCGAGTATGTTAAGCTCAAGAAATCCCTTCAACACAAAATCAATGCATGTACTTCACGCACCGACCCGCTTTTCCCTATGTATCACGCAATGCTTGCTTGAGTCAAGTCTTATCTCGAGGAGGCACTCAAATCAGACGTTCTAGTTTTGGCTACGATCCTCCACCCCTGCTGGCGAGCAGACTATTTCCAATTTGCTTTTGGCAAATACTCTTCTGAGTTTGAAACCGCCAAAACGTTGATTGAAACTGCATTTCAAAATCGAAAAGAACAACTTGAAGAAGAAGCTGGAAAGAACATCAACGCTTATGAAAATGATTCAAACGATGGCGAAGATGATGACGATGATGGTTTCCGTGCTCATAGAAAGAAACTTCACACACGAAACGAAAACGAGCTTTGTAATTACTTGGAACGTGTCGATGAACCCTCCAAACAGGTGGAAAAAGATCCAAATCTTGCTCTTGAATTGTGGAAGGTATAGTCTCTTTTTATGCTCTTTCTCATCTATGACTGAACTAATTGTTTCATATCTGTCTTTTCTATCAAGTTCAATGCTGCAAAATATCCGGTCTTAGCCTCTCTTGCCAAGGATTATCTGGCAATCTGTGGGGCTTCATGTGCTGTCGAAAGGACTTTCTCAGCTGCGGCTGATGTCTGTTGCCGGGATCGGGGTGCTTTGAAACCACCCACAGTTGAGCGCTCAGTTGGGAGTTGCATGTGGTCTAAAGATGGAATAAATATAGCTGGTGAAGATTTCGTCGAGTGCCAAAAATACATGGCAGAATGTATGGACTTGGACAAGGATAATAGAAAAAGGAAGGGTCGACCAAAGTAATTTCTTCCTTTTTGATCAAATTTTGTTTTTATATCTTTGTCTTCTATTTTTTTTCTTGTTCTCTTCATGATACACAGCAAGAATCTGGTTTGTAATGGCTGAAATACAAGAAATCCCCGCTCTACTTTGTTTTTGGTCTGAGAGTCGCGATACTGCGATACAGTAACGGTATCGTAGTCCCTTTAGACTACGCTACTAAGTATTGAGCGCCACAGTATCGTCTTTGCGATACTGTACTGAGTATCGTACCTGGGGCCTAGGTACGATACTATTTCCTGCTTTCCATGGTATCACAGACCAGTTACTTTACTGGGTATCGTCGATACGATACTGGTATCGTAATTGTGGCAGTGTTGGTATTGAGTGCATAAAACATCTTATGTGTCCAGTAGTCCTTGGGTGCTTCACGTGGTGCTGTTGCAAGAGGGATAAATGTTCCATCTACAAAACCCACACAGTCTTTGAAGAATGATTTTGTGCTGATTTCTTCTTTCAGAGCTGCTCAATGTTGGGGTGCAGGCCACCAAAGATATGTGGGTCCTAAATCAAGTACTGCAGTAATTAATGAATTTGTCCAATTCTGAACACTATCTTCTGTGAAGAGAGATTTAAATTGGAAGACCTTAAAATTCTGATCAGTCAAATTGTACAGAAACTCTCTCACCAGAGCAATTGAACATCCGTGCAAGATGATAATGGTCTCCATCATTTCCCAAAGTGCCTAAATTTGTCAGTCCAACCAAAGTCTGCCACCAAAAGGGTGCTTGCTTCATTTGTGAGTTGTCATGTTATAAGATGGGATGGTCTTCAATCAAATCACCAAGATGTTTGAATGTGGACTTCGACATTTGTGCCTGTCAGTGTCAAGAATTCCAGATAAGTACTCGTGTAAACTTGTGCATCATAATAATACTTACTAGCTTCATGAAGCCATTGCCACCTTCCTCCAAGAAACCTAGTGTTTTGCAACTGTTTACAATCACATGAGATGTGGGTGAGAACAAACCGTTTTTGATTTAATATTCTGAGGGTGTCGTCAACCACTTCAAGCTCTGTGATTTCACGTCTCAGGAGTTGTTGTCCAAATTGAAGAAGTCTGTTGCTCTGATCAATTGCAGGTATCAACTTGATTAGACCAAATAGATACAAAAATGATGCCTTCTTTTGGTCCTTGACAGTAACAGCCAGCTGATGGTTTTGTAAGGCTTGAATCATCTGG